GATGCAATAATGTCGATGGATGATGATGATGATTGATGGTTTTGATGTTGGTGGAGGTGTTGCATGATTTTGATGATGCATAGGGTGATGATGATACAATACTGTTGATGGATGGTGATGATGATAATGGTTTTGATGTTGGTGGAGGTGTTGCATGATTTTGATGATGCATAGGGTGATGATGATACAATACTGTTGATGGATGGTGATGATAATGGTTTTGTTATTGGTGGAGGTGTTGCATGATTTTGATGATGCATAGGGTGATGATGATACAATAATGTTGATGGATGATGATGGTGATGATAATGGTTTTGATGTTAGTGGAGGTGTGGCATGATTTTGATGATGCGTGATGGTGAGAGGTGGAAATAGTAGTGGTTTGTTTGATGGTTTATTGTCATGAATAATATTCCTTTATGGTCAATGTACACTGTTAATTCCTTCCAGATCTACATGTTTTGCTGTTAGAAGACATGGTGATTCTCTTACAGAAACAAGACGACAGACTCATCTTGAAATGTCACAGTACAAACATTTCCAATGCTTACCAAGAGAAGGTTAGACGTTTATTACCATCCTTTTATATGCTTCTTTTGTTACTTGGTTCTAACAGTTTCATTTGGATTATTACAGACAACTCACAGTCCAATATTGAAGCTCAATAATTTATTAACGAGGAACGTTGCTACTGGTGAGTCAGTCCACTCTCTAACTTACTCAATGTTAGATTCCATAAACGCTCAGCAATTTTTATCTTAGGACAGTTTTCATCTTACTGACCCCACCCCTGTCAGAGTTTCTACGAGATTTTCCTTTGGGATTCAAGGAATCAGTATATAAGTCTGCTAGGGTGTCTACGGAGTGGGGTGGGTGATGGGTTATAATTATTTGCAATCTTACTTGCCCCTAAAGCAATCTTAAAACATTAGATTTAACAAAATATGCATGCCATATATCCGTGAAACAATAGACAGACCGTGTAACTAGAGGTATTTCCTCTTGTTTCCGATGTTGTATTCCAGTAATTTCCACTATTTGGTACGAAATAGCTGCAGTTAGACGATGCATCTTTGGTTTATGGGGGAAATAATATTATTTATATATTATTTATTAATTGTGATTTTCACCAGACAAGAGAGCCTTCTTCCTGGTTGGTACATCAGCTGCAGGGCCGCTAATCTATGAACTGGTTGCAGCCACTATAACAGAAAGAAAAAAGTAAGTCACATATTCATAGATACTGTTATTACTCTACTATTGACTTATCTCATAATGTCATGTGGCTGTTTTTGCAGTTGGTACAAACATTTGACAGAAACAGCAGAAGCCATCAAAGTCAAAGGTCAGTCAGGGTGCCCAATCGAGATATAAGCCTAATACAGGGAGCCCAGTGTAGATAAAGATATAGATGAAAATGTTAATTGTTTTTGTTTCCAGAACGAGGAAGGCGAGGTGGTGTATCAGTTGGAGGTGGTCCTCGGTCTAACGGAACAGAGACACAACCCCTCAGACGAAGGGGTGGCTTGCTCCCCCCTGGAATTAACATCAATCCTCCTCCTTTTGCCATTCAAGAGAATGGGAAAAGTAACGAGGAGGAAGAAGACGAGAAAGAAACCAATGAGTCCTCTCCTGTTGAGGAAACACCCAGCAAGGAAATAAAACCTGTCAGCTCGATAGCGGAAGCTGAAGAGGGACCAGAACCTGTACATGAACCAGACGTTGAACCAGATGTTGAACCAGAAACCGAAACGGAAACTGAGACAGAAACTGGTGAAGACCTCGAAAGTGAATCGGAAGCACTTCCTCCACCACCACCCCCACTGGAACAAATCCCAGATATACATGAACAGGAGGATATAACAAGACCAGAAACCCAGATAAGGGTAAGAAAATACTATTTTACTCTAAAGAAAGCGTTACAAACGTGTAGCGCCGTGACCGTGAACGTGATTTGCCCAAGCATTGATTTTTCATACTTCTGCCAGTAACAGTAACGTAAACGTTTTGCAGTGACATAAAATGTACTGTAACGGCCTTGTGCCAAATATTCGTTTAACCACATTGAAACTAATAATTTTTTTCCACTTGTTTTCACAGAATGACATACCCCCTCCACCTCCAATATCAGTAAATGTCCCTCTCCCCCCTTCCCTCTATGACAAAACCTTCGTAGCTGATTTGACGAACGAAGAAAGTGTGGATGAAAAGTCCCCTACTCAAACCAGTGTGATAAGCGCATTCTCCGAGTCTGGTTCATCATCCAGTTCATCCAACGAGACAATGAAGAGTACCAAGTCTTATGGACAGTGCTCTGATCATGATGATACTGGCAGTAGTGCATCTAATAGATCCTCATTAGTGCTCTTAGGTTAGTCGACACATAGTTAATAGAGGGGAATGGTAAGGAAACCCTATTGTTATAGGTCTTTGTTCACTTTTTTCAAGCGTGACCGTGCACAATCCTTTGTTTTACCATTGTTTTACCATCATTGGCAATGGCTGAGTGAACAGACCAAAATCTTTCTTTTGGCTGCTAGTTCAAAATCCGGTTCAACACCAAAAGTGAACAGAGAACTGATAACAATAGGTTTCCTAACCATTCCCCTCTATTAACTATGGTCGACATGACAATGTATGACAATGTTTTCAGCGCTGTTTGATAGTCTTCAAATGCCTGTCATATCTTCGCTTTACCTTGGTTCTTGCTTGTAAATTTCGTCTTTGGTTTGTTTTAGCAGAACAGCTCCGAGGTAAAGATGAAGAACTCAAGAGAACACTGCAAGACAAAGAGAGAATCATAGCTGAACTAAGGGTTGGTGGTTTTTCTACAATTAACAATTTTTCACCAACGACAGTCTTTCTCTAGGTTACACTCACCCGGACGTTCACACTTCACAACAAACTTCATCACTTGGATTCAAACTATTTACTCTTTCTCCAATTACTCTTCTTTCTGTTTGTCTCTGTCTCACTGTTTGCCCAATCAAGGGGACAATTTCGGGACAAATCTAGTGTAGTATTCCATTCCAGGTGTGCACTTTTTTTATCGTGCAACATACTTGCAAAACAAGTTGCAAAGGAACATTAGGCAGATTAAGATTTCCGTTTTTCCTTCTTGCAAACGACAAACGTGACCACGTTTTCATCGTTTCCCTACATTTCACTTTACCTTTTGCAAACCTTGTCAACAAAGATAATATTACTAACACCATTCACTGTTATGCAGGGTGCTGTAATGACTTCTGGCTACTCATCAAATGAGGTAAGAGTGTAATGCTCAAATTTCCCTGCCTTCCAATCATGCATAGTATTCTATTTAACGTTGTTGGAGACACTTATTGATACTTATTGTTAATATACAGGGTCATATCAATAGCGACCCCATGGAAGCAAGGTATGCTATGACATCACTAACTAGTAATGTAACATCTATCATGTGATATATGTCAGTTATTTGTAGATTTCATTCACTATGATGTCATTAACAAGTGACGTAACATCTATCATGTGATATATGTCAGTTATTTGTAGATTTTATTCACTATGATGTCACTAACAAGTGACATAACATCTATCA